AATAAAATAATATTACAAGCAAATTCAAAAAATTTTCTTATTTTTTAATGACATATTCTCTATGAAATTAATGTTTCAAAATTCATTTTTGGGAAAGAATAGGTCTCAATCATAAATGAAGCACTAGTTTAGAATCTACACCCCTAACCTTTTTTTTTTATTATTATTCTTATTTTCATATTTTTTTAATGTTTTTTTTATTCTTTTACTTATTAGGAATTAAGGTTTAACTGAGGGCAGAGAAAAGCCCTTAACCATGGTTAATTAGCTTCGGTTTGAACAAGGGATTTCTTAATGGTGTTAATTTTTGGAATATTTTGTCATACTCCTAGGTCAAAAATGTCCAAAATGTTACATAGTCTTCCAGTCTCAAGAATAATATTGGAGAGAGATAAAAGGAAAGAGAGAAATCGACACATCATAGCATTATTCTTGTAAACGATGTCGCATTGACATCTATTATTTTACACAAATGAATTCGTTTCGCAAATTTATAAATTAATTTATTAAGAGAAATATTAGTTAATCTCACGAGATGTATGAAAATTATTAAGTAGTAGTATTAAGAGCTTGTTTGGTAGAGATTTTTGGGAGAAGAATTGATTTTGAATAGTGATATAATGGGAAATGTATGATTGAAAAAGAAAAAAAAATTATTGATGTGATGAAAAATATTATTTTATTGAATAATGTGTGGTTGAAAATGAGAATTGATTTATTGTAGAAAAATTTAATCCCTCCCAAACATGACCTAAATGTGTTAAAATTAATGTTTAATTTCGACTGAATTTGTAAATCGGCTTATTTGAATCGTTGTTGAAACGGTTAATAAGTTTTTTTTTTTTCATACGCCCTATTTTAGTCAATTTTGAGTACAAAACTTATTTCGAGATCGACGGTTGTGTTTGCCTAGCATCAATTGGCTTTTACTTTCTTTTTTCTATTTAATAACATTATTATTGTCATTGTCATTGTCATTGTCATCGTCGTCGTCTCAAGTTTTATTTTTATTCTTTTTTTAAAAGAAGGTAGGCTACGGTCAAATTATTCCATTAATTCAAAATCATGGTATGGAGTGCCAATTTGGTCAACCCATTAGCATGACTATTTTGGCTATGGTGTTGAATATGTATTTTTTATATTTTCCCATGCATTTGAATCAATCATAAAAAGAAAATGTCCCCCCTTTTGCCCCTCTTTTTTGAATAAAAGCGAGTAATTTACTATTATTTGCATTATTCCGAGATGTTAAGCTGTTACAATATGCGGTCTACTTGTTCATTTGAGTTATTAAAAAGGTTATTTAAAATAAAATGATACGAATAATGAGAAATATGAGCTTATTTATGTTGTATACCATAGATAGCAAAAGTACTTCATAAGAGTTGTATAAAGCACAGAGGACTTGTATAGTCCAAATGTTGATTACCGAAAGTCGAGGGCAGGAGTAGCCCATAGGGGTTGCATAACCGTGCATGACTACTTGTGAGCCTGCATCGAGCTTCCGTAGCTTATAGGTTACTATAGTGGTGCATTTGTGGCTGTAGTGCTTGCGTAGTACAATATATTCAATTTGAAGTCTCCGTGTACAAAATACTATCTATAGAAAGGTCCTAATTAATCATGAAAAAAGAAATTCACATGTGCTATATTTGTGTTTCGCTATGTTATCTCTTGATATTATACATGCACCATATTTTGGACGTTATTGTTCATAGTCATTTTATGAATCTTGAATGAGCGAGAATACTTTGGATTGAAGGCGAAAGTTGTACCTTCTATGGCAAGACTTGGTCGAACCCCGAGTTTTATTAACTAGTTTTCTACCTCTGTCTTTTGTCAAAACATGAAAGTACTCATTTTGTATAATCCCACTTTTCGACCTTTAAGTGATTCTGATGTTGGAATACATTAGTATAAAATGAGACGTTACAAATTGTCATGCAACGGTACAATTATCATGTCCAGTTGGCCCAATTTTCCTTCAACAACAACAGTGACCCTTCTAGCAATGGCTAAGTCTGCACCCAAACCCAATCCAATTTTGCCCAACAAGGCTAGAACTCAGCCCAAGAAACTGGGGCCTAAAACTTGACTTATTCAGTTATTCTCAAGCTGAATTGGCCCATCAGCTAATCAAATTGCAATCAACTTAAAAAGTTGTTAAAATTTAAGTCAGGCTCAATAAGTATAGATACACATTTCATCAACTTTTATTAAAATCTACTAAAAATTTAATTTTTATCTAAACCAAACAAGGGCTAAGTAACCAAAAGTGTTATACTTTATACAGCGTTGTGATTGCTAGTGAGTGTTCCGAATAT